GCCTCTGAATTTGCTCTCTTGTTTTACTTGGAATGTCCTTCCCAAAACACACGCTCAGCTGGCTTCCTCCCTTTTGGTCAGGACTCTCTTCCGTTAACATTTCCACAGAGCTTATATAAGCGTCCCCCCCCTCCCCCTCCCCCATTTGTCACTCTCTACCCCTCTCTCCTCGACCCCTCCCCCACCAATCCCCCTAGCTCTCATCCCCAACACTGATTTCCTGACCCTCCACCTTCCCCAGGAGAATGGAAATTCCAACAAGGTCAGAACTTGGGAGCACCTTGCTTACTATTATAATACCAGCGCCTGAAACTGTGCTTGGAATGCAGTAGGTATTCAGTAGTTGACGAATCAAAAAATAAATGAATAAAACCCTAGAATCAGTTAGGATGTGGGTTCCAAATAACAGTTCAGCTTGGTGTAAATGAAAATGAAAGAGAGATTTACTGGTTTCCCTAATGACAAAGTCCAGAAGGAACCCACATCAGGTGAAGCCTGACCCAGAACTTCAACAATATCACTAAGGACCTGTTTCTCCACTAGAAATTCCAGGAAATTGGCCTCCCCTGTGGTCCTAAGGTCACTGTCTACAATAACCTTGGCTGTGTGCTTCAAGTAATCATCCCTGCCATACGCTAGGCGCTTGCTACGTCAGACCCTGAGACGAATATTGTTATAATCTCCATTTTACAGTGACGAAATTGAGCCGTGGAGAGGTGATGCCACTTGCCTAAAATCATACCACTAGGAAGTGGGTTAATAACGCTTGCACCATCTCACTACCCCTTCTTTAACAATTATGAACATTTTCATGCTAATGAGTAACAGCTATCACACCTCTTACACACACAAACTCAGCACCTACTACCTGCTAGATATCTTGCTAATACTCCATTAGCTTCTCTGTGCCCTCAGTTCCTCCTCTGTGTAACACGAATAACAGTACTGCCACACAGGGTGACGGTGAGGCTTACGTGAGCTAATACACAAAATGGTCAGACGTCAGAAAGCTTCTTTCAGTGAGCTATTGCTGAGTGACAAATCATCCCATAACACAGTGGCTTAAAATAACAGCCATTTATTTGCTCACGATTTGGAATTTGAGCAAAGTGGGGAGGGCAAGGGGAGTCTATTCTACATGGTGTCAGCTGGGAGCCAGCCTAGCACATCCAAGATGGCATCACTCTTGTCTTGCATATCAGCTAAAACAGCGGGGCAGCTGGGGGCTGGCTGGGCCTCTCTCTGTCCACATCTCTCTCCAGTGGAGGAGCTGGGCTTTACACAGCAGCCCAGGGCCCCAGGAGAATGAAAGCAGAAGTTGCAGGCACCTCAGGGGCCCCAACCAGCACACCATCAGCCGCTGCACTCTACTGGTCAAAACAAATCGCGGGCCAGCCTAGATTAGAGAGGGGAGAGGCTCCGCCTCTTGATGGGAGAAACAGCAAAGAAAGTGTGGCCTTCTATAGAGGCAGCTATTTTAATCTCCGGAGAGCAGCCTTTTCGCTGGTCTCGCTACTTCAATATTTAACCGCCTGTCATCAGTTCCCCCACATGATGGCCAGAGGGATCTTTTAACATACAGAACTGACCACGCCTCCTCTCACTGCTTAAAGTTCTTCTGGGACTTTCCACTACGCATGGAGTTAAGGGCCCAGGTCCTTACAGGGTCCACATGACCTGGCCTCTTGGCCTTTTGCTCGCCAGCAGCCTCTGGGCTCCAACCACTACATGAACACACCGACACACAGACACACACACACCCCCCTCTTAATGGGAATGCTTAATGCCTATACTTTCATTGCTTCAATCCCACTTCCTAGGATCTAGATTAGAGTTCTGGCCAAGCGCTCCTATGGCACTTTCTACCTTTCTTTGTAATTTCATATCTGTGTGATCAGCTGATGATTTGAACCTCCAGCCCTGATTCTGTGAATTCTTGGGGAACAGGAAAACTGTTTTGTTCTCAGCATGCTGTGTTCCTGATGCTCAGCACGGAGCAGAGGCAAGATGAAATACTTGTTAAACGTCTGAGACCTCAGAAAATCTTAAGGCAGTCCTCTGAAGTTCTGTGGAAGAGGGATCTGCAGAGTCCCTGTGATGCTGGGACCAGGATCTACATTCTGAAATTACCCACTGACCCATCCCTTCAATAAATAGTTACTGAGCCCCTACTATGTGCCGAGAGTTCTTCTAGATGTTAAAGATAAAATACAAAGCAGACGAAAGCCCCTGCCCTTATGAAGCTTATGCTCTGCTGAGGGTGCAGAGGAGAAACAGACAATAAACAAGATAACCTATACAGTGAGTTAAATAGTGATATGATTAATGCTAAGGAACAGCTAAAGGGAAATTAATATACAAATGTTAGTAGTATATAGTTCTAGAAGCGTGGTCAAGGAAGTTCTCAAGGAGGCGATGATATCTGAGTAAAAACTAAAGGAGGTGAAGGTGAGCCTTACTATCTGGAGAAGAGTGTTCCAGGTAAAGAGAGTGAGCGCAAAGGCCCTGAGGCTAGTGTGGCTGGAGCAGAGTGAGCAGGGTAAAATGACCAGGTGGAGAAGTAACAGGGCCAGATCATGAGGGATCAAGGGCCTTACAAAGGTCACGGAAAGAACACCGGCATTTGCTGTGTGAGATAACGCCGCAAGAGGGTACTGAGTAAGAGAGAAATGTGACCTGATACAGGTATTCCGTGTCCCCCTGCTGCATATGAGAAAGACTGTGGGGAGCATAGAGACCACTGAGGAGGCTGCCATGATGGTCTAGGCAGGACAGAGTGGACAGGACCAGGGTGACAAGAGTGGAGGTGGGAAGAAAAGATTAGGTTCTGAATATACGTTGAAGGAATTTGCTGATGGAGCAGATGTGGGTATAAGACAATGAAGGAGGAGGCATTTACTGAGAATGTGGGAAGAACAGGTTTTGGGTAAAAGACCGGAGTCCAATTTGGTCAAGATATCTTGGTCTCCAGATGACTACAGATATCTTGAGAGAGGAGGCATCATGTGGGCAGTCAGCAGGCCAGGGAGAGGTTTTGGGCTGGAAATTGAAATGTGGGATCTACATTTCCACACTTATCCCAAATTCCTTAAGGGACCTACGTGATTTGGACCCTGATGATGTCTTGAAGCTCATCTTGTATGTTGCTAAATCAATGGCACGTGCACACACGCACACGCACACAATCCCGGGCCTTCCGCTTGCTAGCTATGTGATCGTGGTTAAGTTACTTAACTTTCTCTGTGCTCAGTATCCTCATTTGCAAAAGGTAGATCATAATAGAATCTGCCTCCCAGAACTGTCTGTTCAAAACAAAATCTTTTGTTAAGCATCTATAATATGCTAGTCACTGTTCTACTTGCTGGAGATACCCCTTTCTCACCCCTCTCTGCCTCCCCCTTCCACACAGCCTGTAAGCCATACATCCTGCCAACTCAGCCCTCTGGTCGTCTCTCCCACCTACATCCCGTCTCCCCTCCCAACCAAGGCTCCTGCCCTGGCTCATCCCCAACATCGCTTGCCTCGGAACGTGCCACAGCCACCACCCTGGGCTCCCAGACCCTGGTCTCTTTCCCATCAATCTATTTCTAGATGGCAGCAAACTGGGCCATGACCCTTCCCTTCTAGAAATCCTCTCGTGCCTCCTCAATGTCCTTAGGACAAAACCCAAGCTACCTAAATGGCCAACAAAATCTTCCACGATCCAATCCCGATAGAACTTTTCAATTAGATCTCCAACACCACATCACCCGCGGTTCAAAGTCAGACCACAGGCTGTTGTTCGTCGCTGCCTGTGCGCAAACCACCGCCCCACCGCCACCATCGGGTCTTCAGGTCTCAGCTCAGACACCTCCTCCTCCTCCGGGAATGTTCCCGTACCCGTGCCTCTTCTGGGGTTCCCTCAGCATTCCGCACTGCGCCCCCTCCCGAACACCCGCAGGTCCATAACGGCGCCCACGCCTCTCTCCTACCGACCTGGGCTTCCTGTGAGCTGGGCCGGACACCGCGGCCGGTGACGCTCTGTGCGACGGGGCCGCTTCAGGCCTCAGCGCCTACCTCCTGCTCGGTGGCCGCAGACGCCTAACCAGCTCGGTCTCGGGGAGCAGCACAGTGGCCCATCTTCCGCACGCCTGACAGCACTCAACACCCGGAACCGCCTGACCAACACCGCCCAATCACGGCCTTTCCCTTCTCTACAGCCTGCCTCAAGCATCCGGGCCCGGTCCACCTCTGACTACCGATTGGCTGCCTGAGAACCCGGCCCCAGCTCGTGAGCGAAAAGAATTCTGGTCTTTGTAGTCCCCTGACGAAAAAGGGGAAAAAAGATTGCAACCCTTAACTCCATTTCCCAGGAAGCGCCGCGCCCCAGGGACGGGACACGGTTAGGTACCTTAGAATCAGGAGGCGCCCGACTGGCCGGTTGGGAGAGAGAAGTTTCCAAATTGTTATGGAAACAGACACCCACTTACCTGAAACCCCGGGAATATCTTTCTGCCAGAGAATCTCAAAACGCTTTGCTCCTTCATGGTTCCAAACGGTAAGACCAGACGTGGGGGGTAAAGTCTGCACCTTACACTGCCTGCCTGCCAGCCATCCCCCAGGTGGTACGAAGAGGGCCTGCTGCAAGCATTCGGCACCTACTAGATGCCTGCCTGGCGTAAGGAGCCACTCCTGTGCAGACTCTGTGGAAGCCCTGGCTTATTAGGGCAGATCCTGATGTTTTCCAGAGACAGGTCAGAGCCCGGCCTCTACTCTTTCGGGGTGTCTGTTCCCACGGAAAAGACAAACACGGGCTAGGATCCTATCCAGGATCTCTGTCTAGGATTCCATAGCCCCAGACTTCCTGCAGCCCCGTGTCTGCGCCAATAGCCGTAACTTCCCCAGGGATGCATCCCACATGACAGAGCTTTTCTGGCACCCCCTCCCCAAACACCGTTCCCCACCACGCCTCTGAGGGCCAGGTGAGGGGAGCCGAGGCCCTGCAAACTCTCAGGCAGGCATGTGAGAAAGCTCTTTACTGGGGGGTACAGCAAGGAGGAGCAAGGCCATCTCCCCCTACCTGCCCCCACCCCCTCCTAGGGCCCTAGGGTGAAGGGGGTCTCCCCCCCAACACCGGACCACCACTGTCTTTGGTACAATAAATAGAAAACAAGGGGGGGAGAGGGGGCCAAGGGTCCAGTCCTTAGTGGGGAGGGTGCGCCTAAACCCCTCTCCTTGACCCCCTGCCCCAGGCCCCAATCAGTGCAGGCCTCACCCACCCCAGCTGGGTAGCAGCAATTCCAGTCAAGGGGAGAGATGAGGATGGGAGCCCAGGGCCCCCAGATGAGGGGTATGGCTTCAGGAGGGGCCCCAGGGAGGGGGCTGGGTCATGAGCTGGCTGCCGTGCTCTGGGGTACACCACGGAGGCCCAAGCGAGGCCCCAGAGTGGCAGGGTCATCAGGGGGTGGGAGGGGTGGACGACCTCCTGTCATCCGAGTCCGGAGGGCTGAGGCAGCCGGGTGCTGGGGGGCAGGCGCCGGGTGAGGTGGGGAGCAGTCCGGAGGGCCGCCCACCAGGCTCACATCCATCAGCTCCGGGGGTGGTGGTGAGGTTGGTGACGGGGGACGGCCAAGGCATCGGGGTTGAGGGGGTAACTGGGCCCCGGCCCCTGGCAGTGACGAGGCAGAGGCAGGGGCCTGATGTGTCTTGTGGGGCACATCACCCCCTGCCCAGGGGCGCAGCGGCTGGGAGGGTGGGACCTAAAGGAGCAGAGGAACAGTGGGTGATGGAGACCCAGGTCCTGAAGTGCAGATAACCCACCACCCACCTCCCAAGGCCCCAAGGCCCCAGTACCTGTGGGCTGTTCATCTCACAGTCGGTGATGGGGGGCCCGGGGCCCCCACAATATCGGTTGCTGTATCGGTAGGTCCGGTTGTCGCTGGAGGAGCCGCTGGAGCCTCCTGGAAGTGCCAGAGGAGGAAATGAGGAGAAGCCTTAGGAGGAGACGTGGTGGCTGGCGACTCAGGCCCAGGCTTTGGGATCAGAGCCTATCTGAAGGATGGGTCCACTTCTGAGATTATGGACCAGAGCTTAGTCAGAAGCAGTTTTAGAGGTGTGAGCCCAAGTGCAATTTCAGAGATCAGGTCACGGCCAGGCAGAGCTCTCTCACCCACCCATTTTGGAGTCCAGATCACGCAGTTTCAAAGCTTTCAATGAAGGCCCAGTGGGCAAGGTCCCCTGTGTCAGAGCAAACCAATGTCGCCCACCCTCCTGTTCTAGCCCACCTGGCCCTGGGCACCCACCAGAGCTGGAGATGGAGCTGGCGGTGCTGGAGGAGGGGCAGGTATCAAGGGGTGCGGGCGAGGTGGAGGCACTGCTGCCTGCCGGGCCCGTGTTGGTGGCCTCATCAGCCGTGCGGCGGAAGAAGCCGTGCTGCAGAGCCCCCAGTGGGCTGATGCGGGCGGCGGGCTCATACTCCAGCATGCGCAGCACCAGGTCCTGGAAGCGGAGGTAGTCGGCGGGGCTGTGGCCCGGCTCCCCCGCCCGCCGGCCCCCGGGCCCGCCCGTCTGCACGCCCAGCACCTCCTGCAGCCGCCGTGTCCCGGGGCCCTGGTAATCCTGGCAGGGAGGGGGTGGGAGGGGGGGCAAGAGAGTGGCCGTCAGTGGGCAGGAGGGGCAGGGAGACACACACGGGGAAACAGAGGCACAAGAGAGAAAGTGGAAGGAGAGAAGCTAAGAAGAGTCGTGGGGTGGGTAGGAGAGACGGGGGTGGGGCTGGGACGAAGGAGAGGACAGACAAGGGGGAGAGGAAGGAAGGGAAAGACACAAGGGAGAGGAAGCAGGGGGAGAGGAAGCCCCAAGTGTGAGAGAGTGAGGGGCCACCAGGGTGGGAGGAGCGGCATGGGGCAGGGGCCGCACCTTCCTGAGTTCCTTTGTCCTTCGTAGGGTCCAGCCACCCCCAGGCAGCCGCTCAAAGTACTTGCGAGCCTTGGGTGCCTGGTCCAACATGGGGGCTGGTGGGATGCCCAGCACCTCCACGATCCGGTTCATCTGGTCCACCTGTGAGCAGTCAGGTGGGCAGTCAGGGTTGTCAGGCCAGCCAGGCCTCCGCCCCTTCCAGCACACCCCCTCCTCGGGAGCACACCTCATTGGAGCCACTGAAGAGGGGCTCTCCAGTGTGCATCTCCACCAGGATGCAGCCCAGGGACCACATATCAATGGCCAGGTCGTAGGGTGTGCCCAGGAGCACCTCAGGCGACCGGTAGAAGCGGCTCTGGATATACTGGTAGATCTGGGGAGGCGGAGCAGGGGAGAAGCCAGCTGTCAGAGGTCCCAGCCTGCCCTAGTGGTGCCGTGGCCATACCCAAAGCTGGGGCCAGCTTCCTTCCACCAAAACTAAGGATGGAGGTTCCAAACCTGGATGTTACCAGCACCCTTGCTGTCCAGGAGCCACTACCATCACCTTTTTCATCAGCCTCAGAAGTCTCTGCTGGCCTAGGCTCACCCTGATCTCCATCCCGAAGCCTGACTCTGGTCTTCTCTTGATCCTGAGGTTGGCAGGCTGCAAGCCAAGGCCCTTCCCCCCCCCCCCCCCCCATCCAGACCCTTTACAAGCCATCTCAAATGTCTGTTCACATGAAGTTGCAAAACTAAAGCACCCGTCCTCTCTTAAGGGGACAGGGCAAATCCAGCAAAGCGGCACTCTAAGCTCATAGCCAACCTGACTTCACTCTGCCCACATCTGGCCCTGCCTCCTCGGGCCTTATTCTTCCTTTCCTGCTGGGTACGACACCCCGTGCGGCCCTCTCTTTTACCTCCCTCACCCACTGACCTTAGCCTCCCGTACCGCCAACACCCCATCCCAATACTACCCTTCAGGCACCGGCCACTTCAGGCCCCGCCCCCGCCCGGGCCACACCCACGCCGCGAGCCCCGCCCCTCCGCACCCGCTGGCCAAGCTGGCAGGAGCTGCCGAAGTCTACGATCTTGATGGCGCTGCGCTTGGGGTTGCAGAGCAGGATGTTCTCGGGCTTGAGGTCGCAGTGAATGATGCTGAGCTCGGGCGTGGCCAGGAAGAGCAGCGCTGTGCAGAGCTGCTGCGCCAGCTTCCGCGTCAGATTCAGCGAGACGCCGCGGAAGTGCGTGTTGCGCAGGAGGTCGTACAGGTTGTAGGAAAGCAGCTCGAACACCAGGCACAGGTGGTTCCGAAACATGAAGTGCCGCTTCAGGTGCACTGCGGGGAAGGGGGCGGAAATGGGGGCGGACGGTGAAGCAGAGGCTCAGAGAGGGCCGGGGGCGGCCAGGGACACACAATAATGAGGCCATAAGCAGATCTGTGCCTCTGCCGTGTGAGCACCGGACGGATCGTGATGTGCCCACGGGAGGCAGTTGCCGGTCAGCGTGTTTTTATATGGCCCATAACTTGATTCACGTCAAGAAAAAGATTTTCTCGATTAAGAGAAGTTCATTTCTTTCAAGTCTCTGTCCAACTTTCTGATAAACCAAAGAGAACGTTCCCCTTTGGTGCTGATAGGTCTTTAATACCCTTCTCCATTTCCTTAATCCTGTAACATTGTTTTAGTCTCAGTTCTGTTTATTTTTGTGGCAGAGGACACTCGCTTTTCATTTACAGTAACGATATGTATTTCAAGAAACACTCTCTTTAATCTGCCCTTGCTTTTTCTAAGAGGAATCCGTGCTGGAAAGAGGAAAAAGCCATAGACGTCAGGAGTAAAGGCTCTGGAGTCCACTGCCTGGTGATATTATAGCTTCACGGAGTACAAACTCTGTGACCTTTGGCAAGTGATAGCACCCGAAAGCTTCCTTTCCTACTCCGAGCTGTGCCATGATGCCCCTTCCCCCCTGGGCTGTGGTCATACTGAAACCAGTTAATTCAACATGTGGTTGCAACAGAGCCTGACCCTTAGTGGGCACCCCATAAACTCTGGTGAGCACTGGAATAGGGCAGAAATCATGAAGGCGGAAGGAGAACCACTGATGTCAGAGTTACAGACCAGAGCCTGCCCTGAGGACACCAGCCCCATCCGGTACTGGGTGTATGGCTGCCCCAGGCCTCACCTATATAGTACTTCATCTCCGTGTCGTGCTGGTTCATCAGCTCCAGCAGCCGCAGCTCAATCTGGGCCTGGTTCAGGAAGGCCTTTTTATTCTTGATGATCTTGATGGCCACCAGCTCCTGGGTCTGATGATCATAGGCTTTCACCACCTGCCAGGGCAGGGGGCATGTCACCAAGTGAGGAATGGGGAGTGTGGGGGGGTGGGAAGGGGGGGTGTGGGACAGAACAAAGCACCACATTTCTGCGGGTCATTATCAGTGGGTGCTCACGGCCCCCAATCCCTGGGTTGGGGGGGGTGGCATTCCACACCTGGCCAAAGGAGCCTTTGCCAATGAGTGAGTCAATCTCATAGCGCTCCAGCCAGCGCTCGCCACTGCGCACAATGTAGTCGTGGTTGTCATCGTCATAACCATGGTTCAGGACCTTCTTCTCCTTCTTGGTGCTCGAGTCCTGAGGTGGTGCCTGCTGGGCCCGCCGCTTCTTTTTCGCGTAGTATACCTGCCCCGCCGGCCAGCAGATAAGGACTACTGAGTGACTTGTGCTGGCAGCCAGGACCCCTCGGCACCCAGCTGGGCCTCCCACCCTCTGCCCACCTCATTGATGTGCTTGTAGGTCTTGATGAGGTCCACGGAGAGCTTGCGCAGCGGGGCTGAGGTTGCGTCCCGAAAGGCCAGGGGCAGCCTCCGTGGCAACAGCCGCACATCAGGCAATACCTGCGGAGCGGGGCAAGGGGCGGGCACTGAAGATAGGCATTCATTTCTGACCTCCAGAGGGAGAGCTATATGGGTGGCCTGGGCCATCACGTGACCACCCCGTGAGGCTAGGAATTCCCCAAAGGCAGAGACTTGTCTGGTTCTTGCTGTGTTTCCAGTGCCTGGTGCAGGACGGCACATAGTGGATGGTCATTAGAGGTTTGCCGAGTGAATGAATGGGGACCTGTTTACCCCTGACCTTTCATCCCACACTTTTACTCTTTTCTGAACCTCAGGGGGAGAGATCAGAGAGAACACGTGGGCTCTGCCCCTTGCATTCCTTTGCCCAAGAGACCATCCATTCTGGGTGTCCCATCTTGAGGGCTCCCATCTTGCTTTGCCCTCATCTGGTTGGGTCTTCTCCTCCCTCACCTCCAAGTCTGCACCATTTTTACCCAGTGTTTCAGGATCTAGCTATTCCATCCTGCTTCAAGCTCTAATTTCAGAGCCTTAAACAGTCGCTACCTGTGAATGTCTTTCCCCTGCACCCTAAGATGCTGCTGGCTCCAGGATCCTTTGGGCTCAACCTTCACCCCCTTTCACCCCACCTCCCTCCCCCATCTTTCACTCTGGCACTTTTTTCCTTAGTGAACATGTATTGAGTGTTTTTTTATGAGCCAGGCACCGTTCTTAGTGTTTTACATGCGTTTCAGTAACTTGTTTAATTCTCACAACTCTGTGAGGTAGGTATCATTATTGGCTCCATTTTACAGAGTAGAAAACTGAAGCAGGAAGAACCTAAGAAATTTAACCACCATGTCAGGATTTGAACCCAGGCTCTCCAAACGGATTCTGCCAGCAACTCCATTATCTTCCACTCCAGATGGACCCTTCATGCCCCGAGGAAACGGTTTTGGGCAACCAAACTATCTTTCACCCCAAGACCCTTCTGTCCCCAGCCTCCCCCTACCCTAGGCAGGTGAGGAGCCAGCTGAAAGCATACCTGCGTGTGCTCCTGGGGCCCCGGGAAGCCAGAGAAGGGACCATGGCCCGGTGGGATGGCCATGGTGGGCTCAGAGGGCCGCAGGGGAGCGAGGCCTGGAGCGGGAGCCCGGCCGGGGGGCGCCTTCTCGCATCCTGCACCTCGGCTGCCACCGCCGCTGAGACCTGAGAGCAGGCAGGAGGCAGGGGAACAACATGGAACAAGGGGATGTATGGGCCAGTGCCAAGCAGGAAAGAAGTGGACATCAGAAAGAAGGCAGGGGACAGGGAGAGGAGAAAAAGAGTAACAGGTGGTAACGAGAAGGGGCAGAGAGAAGGGGTGGGGGTGAGGGCACAGCGGAGTCCCTCAACAGATGATTACCAAATAAATGAAGTAGGTGGCACAAAGAAGGGAACATGTGAAAGGGAATGATTGGAAGCCAGGCAGGGATATAGGCCATGACAAGAAAGGACAGAAAGACACCAATAATTGGGGGGAGGAAGAGAAGAAAAAAACAGAAACCACAGACAGTATAGGAAGGAGGATTTTCTACTGTGGCCCTCCCTCCCCAGCACCCCCTCACACAAGATCTTGCCCTCCTGCAGTCTTCCCTGATGGTCAGGGTCTCCTCTTATCAGAGCAAGGTCCCTCCACTTCAAGATCTACCTTTCCCAGTAGATCCCTCAATGCAGAGAACTCTAGGATCCCCCAAACTACATGACAGAACTCTGGGCCCCCTCCAAACCCATGACGGAGTCCTCTGCAGGTCCCTAAAACCACATCAGGGTCCTGGGGACGAAGCCAAGATTATCCTGCTATATAGGATTATCCTTATACAACGGAGTCCTACCCCATGGCACTCTCATCCACCAGCCCCCAGCCCCCAGGGGACCCATCCCACATCAAGCCAGGACCTCTTCCCTATATCATTTCCTCCCACATCAGGGACCGCTGCTCCAGGTAGTTTCTCCTGTGGCCCCGGTGTTACTTCACAGTATTACTTCACAGTCCCCCTCAGAATCAAGGCTCACTTTTCCTGATGGGAACAAGGAGGAGGCTTCTCCTCTCTCGCCCTTCTCTCCCCTACACTGGATCTTCCCCTCCTCCTCCCATCCAACATTTCTACCAGGGCCCTTTCTCCAGTTACTCTTCTCTACACCAGGGTCAATCCACAACTGTGCCAATTCCTAGAAGGCCCCCCAGAACCAAATTCCCCAAATATCATGTGGAGTTCTCCCCTCTCAGAGTACCTGCCACACCAAAATCCTCTCCCCACTGGCCTTCTCCCATGTCAGTCCCTTTCTTCGATGCCAAGCCTTGCCACTCCACGATCCCTCCTCTCTCTTGGAGCTCTCCCGCCCCTCGCCCGAAACAATCTCTTCCCCGGGGCCCTCCCACGGCAGGACCGTCTCTCCCAGCACCCACCCCCTACCCGGGTCAGGGCTGGCGCGGGGCCCACGGGGGGCTGGGGTGCGGTGGGGCCCCCAGTGGGGTGGGCGAGCGGCCAGCATGGCGGCGGTGGCGGCAGAGAGGAGACGGCCGCCTGTCCCGGCCCGGCAAGCCCCGCGGCGGGGAGGGCAAGCGGGACAGGCGGCCCGGTGGGTGACAACAGCAGCCGCCGCCGCCGGGGGCGGGGAGAGGAGGGAACGAGGGTCAGCCCGGGGCACGCGGGGGAAGGGGAAAAGCAGGTGGACGGGGGAGGGGCGGGTTAACCCTCGCCCCGCCGGCCCCGCCCCGCGCAGCCACCCGCCCCTGGGGACCCAGGCGTCCCGCCCCCCACCCTGGAGGCCCGCCCCAGTCGGAGAAGCCCCGGCGGGCGGGGCCCGCTGAGCTGAGCTTGGCAGTCCGCACCTGCCATGGCAACAACCGTGCCATTGGCCGCTGCTGCCAAGAGCTCACCCAATCGCAGTTCAGAACAGCTGTTGCTAGGCGACGACGATGCAGCCGGAGGAGCCGAGCCCAAACAAAGGGCGGGAGCGGGGCCCCGCTACCCCCTCCCTGCCTCATTCCCAAGACTGCTCCCTCGGGCTCAGCCCCTTCCAAGAATCCGACTATGAATAGCCATAGCTCCCTGGGCCTGCACCTGCCCGCCGCCCTCCTGCCCTCCCTCGGCCTCGTGCGAAGTCTCGCAGCGACGCAGGCAGGGCGGGTCCGTACTGCCCCCTCCCCGCGGGCTTCTGCTGCCCCACCTGTAGCCGCGTTGTTACCTGAGGGCGCGGGCAAGGGGACTCAAGCTGCTCGGGAAGCCCGAGCTCAGACCTGCCCACTGGCTGAAAGTATCCGGCGGACGCGGCGAGCCAGGGCCCCGATTACCCAGTAATGCAACCAGCAAAATGGCGACCACAACAAACCGGCCCCCCTCCCGCCCCAGGCTCCGCCCCCACTCCCCCCGTTCGCTTCCCCCACGTGACCCAAGGTAACACTCCGCGCCTGCGCGCAGCGGAGCTTACCGGTAGACGACGCACAGAAAGCTACCAACCCCGCCCTAACACCGAAATCCGGACTGCGACTGCGCAAAAGGCAGCCAAGCAAGGAGCATGCGCACGTGTGACCGGATGAGCTCGCCCGCCCGCACCACCGCGCCGGTTGACGAAGGGAGCATGCGCCCTGTTGAACGGAGGTCGCTGAGCAATCAGCAGACAGGAGCAATGGAGGAGTCTTTTAATAGAAAAACACACGTGTAACAGTAGCAACACAATCTCTCGCAATCCGGATGGCGCTGGACTTCAGTTCTTCACCTTGGGAGGTGGCCTGTAAGAGGAAGGAAAGAAGGGATTCAGAGCCTGTCACCATTTTCTGGCACTCCTACCAAGCGCCAACCTGCAGGGCTGTCTTGGTGGCTTCCTGGGCCCCCTGCTCACCTGTACACGCCCACCACCACGGCGTGGTCTCTTTCGTATGGCTCCAAGGTCAACTGCTCCTGGGGCTTCATGTTCTCCTGCTGCATCTTCTTCACTTCAGAGGCAAACACGGCCTCCGCAGAGGCCGTGGAGTCAATGCAGTTGGCCTGCAGGAGAGAGAACTTGAAGTCTGCAGCAAGGCTTTGAGCTGTTTTCCCTTTTTTTGTGCTCTTTAAACCGCAAGTATTTGTTTTTATTGGAAACTCCGTGAAACTCCGGTTTTGGGAATGGAGGGAGAAAGACTTCATTAGAGAAATTTTCAAGTTGGTTTGGATTTGGAACAGGAAGATTTCACCAGAGACCTATTTATCTAAAAGCCCGTGTTTGTTTTATTTAAAAGCCCGTGTTTAAATGTTATACCCAGGCTGGGTTTTGTTTTGTTTTACTTTCTCTTTCTTTAACAATAAATACAAAATCAAATGTAACAAAAGCCCAACAAATGGTGACTCTAGCTGAAGATCTTTATTTTAAAATAAAATGTTTTTGAAAACGCACCTAGCATTTACCTAAATTTATTTGAATATCATTGTTCTAAACACTTCATATATATTAGTTTAATCCTTACATACAACACTAAAAGACACACGCCTAATATTTATACTCTATAAGTGAAGAAATAGGTACCAAGTTAGGGAACTTGCTCAAAGTCACAAAGCAAGCTGGAATTCAAATTCAAATGGTCAGACTTGCCGATCACTCACTTGACCACTACATTCTATTGCCACGCCCAAGCAAAGCCTTGTTGTTTTAGACACTCTTCATCAGGTGCTGTTTGGGGGCAGGGATAGAGGCTGACTGGATTAGGCATCCAGGATGGAGGCCTCCCTTGTTTTGATGGACTGCTTGGCAGTTAGAGAGAAGATACTATCACCCCATCTTGGACTCCTCCAAGCCTCATACCTTAATGGAAATCACAAAGTGTCCTCCGTTACGAAGGAAGGTGTGGGCATTCAGGGCTACGATCCGGGTCTGGTCTGGCTGGGCCACATCAGCAAAGATCACATCCACCATTGCTAGGGAGAAAGATGCAGCAGTTACAAAGGGGACCCGTTAGACCTTCCCAGCTCCTCCCATGAGGCCTGCACCCCGGTTACCAGCAGGTTCCTGGCAGAGCCTTCCCCTGCTTCCAGTCTCACTTCCCCCCACTGACCCTCCTCCCTCTGCAGCGCCCCCAGGATGGGTCCAAGAAACCCCGTCTCGCCATCTATTCATTCCTCTCGTAAGTCGCGATAGCCACCTGTCTCTGTGGGGGACAGAGAGGAGTCAGACCCAGACCTTACTCTCAAGATGCTCCCGGGTCTTAGGGTGGGGGTGGGGGGACAAACACTCATCAAAAAGGCAAGTAAAGGTAAGTACTTACAGGCAAGAATGCCTGCAGGATTGTCTAAATAACTAACTAAGTCGCTGGGACAAAGGTTATTGTATGAACGCATGGGGGGAAACACCTCAAGAGAAAACCAGCGGAATGCAAAGTATTACTTTTAAGCTAGTGTCATGGGGGGTGGGGGAGGGCAGGGAGGAGGGGATAATGAAAACTGACTTTTTTTAATTGGGAAAAGCAGCTTATTAAATTGCTCATATCAATCAGTTACCTCTGAGGGTGGTTTATAAGGAGTTCCAGTTTTACATCACGCTTCCAAACTTTTTTTTGAGAACAAAGTAATATTCACAACAGGACCCTCTCGGCGAAGGCCACACTCAGTTTGTGTTTTCTGGGTTATGATCTCACCAGAAGAGGAGGAGGAGGAGGAGGATCTCTGAAGGGGGCTTTTATACATAAGCCAGGGGCAGCATAAAAATACCATGTTCTGGAGGGAAGCCGAAAGTACAGGGGTGCCTAGGGAGAGGCCAGGAAGGAGGCTGTTCCTCCAGGCCCGCCAGACACCATCACCTGGCTCCCCCCACCCTCTTCACTCCTGCAGACTCAGGCCTGCTCATCCACTCTGATTCCACTCGGATCAGGGCCCTGGCCACGTTGGCCAGGAGTCGTGGCGCGGCCTGGACTGCACAACCCCGGACCCCTCACCAATGAGCATGCGGTATTTGTGCGGGTGCCGGGCATCTTCGATAACAGGGATAATGTTGGTCCTCTTCTTGGCCAAGTTAATGAGGTCACGGCCAGAGCGGTGGGAGAACTCAACTGCATAGACCAGACCGTCCTACAATAAAGCAAATAATAAATACTGATACTAGTTCTTAGATGGAACACCCACTCTGGGCCCAAACACCTCTCGTAGCATCTCTTCAAATCCCCAAATCAAAACCCTACCATTGAACAGCTACTGTTATGTCCATCTTACAGATTAATAAAGTGAGGTCCAGAGACATAAAGTCACCGGCCTACGATGACTGAATCTCACTTTGCTCGATCTGAAAGCCCAGTCCCTCAATATAATCTTCAAACGAGGAAGCAAAGGGGCGTCTGGATGGCTCAGTCGGCTAAGCGTCCGACTTCGGCTCAGGTCACCATCTCATGGTTCGTGGGTGCAAGCCCCACGTCAGGCTCTGTGCTGACAGCTCAGAGCCTGCTTCAGATTCTGTGTCTCCCTCTCTCTCTGACCCCTCCCTTGCTCATGCTGCCTCTCTCTCTCAGAAATAAAACTTAAAAACAAAAAAATAACAAGAAGCAGGGCCAGTACAGAAGTGAAGTCCTAACAGCTAAGAACACTTACAATGGGCCAGGCACCGCTCTTGAGTATTTTACAGGAATTCCCTCATTTATCTTCACAGTAACCCCATTTTCCAGAGGGGTAAACCGAGGCCCAGGTAGGTTAAATAAATAACTTCCTGAAAGCCACCTCACTGTTAAATGCCCACATCAGAGCCTGGTGTTTTGAACCACTAAATTATACAGCTCCTTTCCCTCCAGGCCAAGAACTCAGGAGTGAGGCAGGGGCCTAGCTCCAAGCTAGCCGGTACAGGGAAGCGGCCACGGCCTCCAGGCTGTCAGGGGCAGCCTCTCCCTCCCTTCCACCTCACCACCGGCCCTGACCCACCCCTCCATCCACTCACCGGGCCTACGATGTCAGAGACGTGGGAGACGGTGGTGCCGGACGCAGCCCCGAGGTAGAGCACCTTGGCCCCAGGCTTGATGTGGATCTGGTCCACGCCGCCCAGGATTGCTGCTGCCAGCTTGGAGCGGAAGGGGTTCCAGGCACGGTACTCGATCTTGTCATCTCCCTCCTGGGCCGGGAAAGAGGGGGATGGATGGAAGCCAGTCAGTGCTGGGCTCTTCCGCTAGACTCCACCGCCCTTAGCCCTAAGGCCCCAGGCGTTCATTCGCTGTTCAAGATATGAACACAGGTGGAAACCAGGGTGGCTCAGTTGGTTAAACATCCGACCTGGGCTCAGGTCATGATCTCACGGTTCCTGAGTTCCTACACTGGGTGAGCCACGAGCCCTGCTGTTCTCCCCCCCCCCCCCCCCCCCCCCCCCCCCCGCCCTGTCCCTTGCTCACTTGCACACTCTCTCTCTGAGGGAGAGAGAGAGAGAGAGAGAAAGAGAGAGGAAGGAAGGGAGGGAGGGAGGGAAATGAACACACATACACGTCAATGACCATAAAACACGTGCAGGGCCTGCCCTCTCATGGAGGTTCCGGACTCAGGCAGAAGGGTGGGGACAGACAGAAAACACAGAGATACGACCGCAATGGACGCAGGACCTGCGTTCACTCGACAAACGTTCGCTGTGCCAGCACACCCTGTGCGCCGCATCCAGGCCAGGACCGGGGACGCACAGTGAATGAGACAGAGACGC